ACGAATCAGACACCCGGGAAATAACCGCGAGAAGAAGTAACAACACAGAGCGCAATCGAGTTGATTTCGTGCATAATTATTTTGGCCTGTAGCCTAGTTCCACAACAACAAGATTCCGACTATTTCGTGAGATAGCTGTGAGTCACTGCCGTCATGCGAACAAAACTAGAGGAATTCTCCCGGTTCCGAAAATTTCTGTTCTTGGCCGAAATTTCGCCGAACACGTTCGTCGATTTTTGGGTAAAGCCGTCAGAACCCGCGAATTCGGACATTGGGCAAGTATTAAAAAATACCTCCCTTTAAAGATTTCCCGACACGCATCACAACTTGAAAAAGTTAATAATTTTTATTTGTTTTATTTTTTTAATGTGTGCATTCTGACCTCCAATTCTGCGTAACTTTGATTTTGGTGACTGCTTACACGTTTACAGACGTGTGCACGTTGCATCTAGGAAATAGATGGAGTATGCTACACATTACGTCACAATTTACTTTCGTGGACAGCAGCTTCGGAATACCATTGATACGGCAGGGAATCAGCCTAATTCTGGCCATCTAACGGATCACGTTATCGACCTTTCTTTTGCCTACATCACAAACGCAGTCTTGCCAACAAGTGCAAGGTTAGCCGCGAGTACAAAACTGAAAAGAACGATTCACAGGTGTTAAAAATCCCCTGTATTAAAACCCTTTAAAACAGTAAATAATTCTACCAAAACACTGAGAGGTAAAGTCTCCAGTGTTAACATCGCGGAAGTAAACTGAGATAAAACGTTGTTGAAAACCACTGCACTGGTGGACTTTCTGCAAACTTTGGCCGCACCCATGCACAATGGCGTTCGATATTTGTAAACGAGAGAAATATCTATGTCTCGAAACGAGAGAGGGGCGGTTTTTATACCAAAAAACGAAGTCCGGCACCTGCAGGTCTTCATGTAGGGGCCAGGTCAGCCTCATGACTGCCGATTTCTTCTCTTTGTCGCCGGTAAGGGAGAACGTTTGCACAGAGTCTGTTTGAAGGGTGAAATTACCCCGGTAATCATTCACGCCTTTTGGGGTATAACCAGGGACATGTAGGCCTACACAAGCAAAGCTCGAAACATCAAAACAATTATCGCTATATTCAGAAAAATTAAAAAAAATACAACACAGCTGACGAACTTTTGGAAAGGTCGACTTCGGAATACACTTTACCATAATTTGTCTCTCCACTACAAATTCAAACAAGGAATACATAAATCGCACGGTAATACGAGGGTAACTATAATTATAAACGACTGTGTGTTGCGATCTAGTTTCGATCTAGTTGGCTCTCTATTTTTTCTAGAGCGCCAACTTTGTTTCCTCGGTAGCGCTACTGCCATTTTAAGTGCGGGACATTTCGACGACGTATCTTTGAATTCGTAAACCCGTAACTCTAAACACATCATTTCAAAAGCGTGCAATAGGTCTACGGCGTGCAGCATCACTTAGCCCTAAGCGAACTCAACCTTGTAGGCCTTTTCTCTGAAGTTTGTAAATCTCTGTATACACTCCACACATTTCCTGATGTGCGTCATTAGCGTCTGGGATCCTCGACGGGACGTCAGTGTCATCGCGCACGAAGAAAACAATAAATCGAATCGACAATAATCAAGGCGACTGACAACAGAATCGATCCGTATCGCAATTATTCTGAGCAGGTCTGAAAAATGCACTGTTAAGACATTAAATAAAGCGACAAACATAACGGCCGGTCCACGCATAATGGTAAATGCATCAATTTGCAGCGTTACCTTTTCGTAAACGTCAATTTCACGACAGTTGCGGCATTTCATGTTCTAAAACTACCTCTGAGAATAAGTGCCGTCTGTCTGTTTTGACGTCCCTGATATAAATATACTCGTAATGTACAATACAGATAGCAACATTCGTATGTCTTTTGCGCGATACATTTACTGATTTATTCACCGAAAGCTCGATAAGGTATATATCATTTTTCATTTGGTATACCGATAACTTATAGCTTCCGTTACCAACGATTATTTGTCGATTTGATACAAAGTCAAAATCGGTCTTACACTCGTAATCTCAAACGCCAGCATCACGTAGTACCTCGAGGCAAGAACCAGACACGGTGCGGTCAAGCAGGAAAAACCCTCTTCCATGCATTCGTCAAACGAGGCCAGTCTTCGCAAGCGACCCAAACTGTGAACCTGAAGCCATTTGGGAAATAACATTCCATCCATTCATTTATTTTCCTAATACAGTCTGTAACCATACGTTATTTATTATAAAAAACAACAACGAAACTCCTGGGTGCTGTTCCCTCAAGGTTTGGCTATTCGGGTGAGATGTTAATGTAGAACGCTCTGTGGAAAGATGTATTTTTAGAATGTTTGCCGTTCTTGTTACCGACCAAGTCAACGCGATAGCATTACAAACGCGTTTCTGTAGGCGTTTCAATATCGGAAGCCGAGCAGGGTATGGAGAGAAAACTCTGATTTGTGACATTTCATTAAGATAAATCACGAAAGTACTCAAGACTGTCGTCGTAACGTCGTATACCTTGTCTGTTAGCATGTACTGATGCACACTTAACATCAGTTAGAGGTGCGGCCTACGTTTTCACCAGCCATAGCTGGCTGGACTAACATAAACGTCATTTGATTGAATAAAACGGCCAACAAAATTACGAACACGTCTCATGAAAAACTAAAAAGTAAGTTACGAACACTTTCCAGTCACCAGTTTCGTTGACGACAGTGAATGTACGATTATTACAGCAAGACGTGATTGACAGCTTCTCGAGACAACTTCCTCGCGAGAGTAAGGTTGTGATGACGGGATGGTCGCGAATTTAAAGGCCCAATGCTCCGATCATGTTCTGAAAACCTGGTTGAACGGAGATTCATTGATTAGTGTGTAGGAACATTCCATTCTCTGGAGGTGCAGGGGACGTTGCCGGAGATAAATAGGGTACACAACAGTCTAATGTCCTGTAACTCATTCACATGGACGTCGCACAGTTTTGTATTCGAGTCCATCACAAATTCCTGCAAGTCTCTGTAAGTCCATCACAAGTCATTCATTCTTAAGCCAATTCGCATACTATTCAAATGAAATATGACAAACAATTCTTTTGTCATTGTTAAACCTGTTACTTATGACTGGTCCTTTGAAGGGACTTGTGACTGGACTTGTGAAGGACTCGTGGTGGACTCGAATACAGCACTGACGTCGCAAGGGAGAGTAAGGGCCACTCTTCCACCCGGAAAAGAGAAAAACAAAAACTTGGGGAAATGGAAAAAAAAACGAAAGAAATGCTAAAAAAGAGAGGAAAGGTAAAAGGGCATGATGAAAATCACAATTTCCCATATAAAAACTTCCACAGTGACCCCCTCTCACTGTTAGTGGTTTTTCAGTTCATAGCCGATGAGTGCTTTGCCCACCCCCCTTCAAAAATCGTCCCCCTGGAGAAAAGAGCTTTATCCCGTTCCCGGAAAACCCTGGCGATGCCCATGCCGACTATCCAGAGAGGCATTGATGAACCAACCTAAGGTCCTTGGCAAATGAAATGAAACCCCGAGAAATTTCGACGTGATATAGCTATTCAAAGAATTCTTAGGGCATCTTCTTTTTCGATTGGTTTCAGCACGGCGACAGAAATTAGAGCACATGTTCTACCCAGCGGCCACTACGCCTAAATTTACAGACAAATCAGTTTATCCGTAATAGTTATCGAATCTGAATTTGCTTTGCAGTCTCTGAGTACATGTACATCAGTTATGGAGGCCTTTTAGATTGCCGACTGTCTAAAAATCTGACTGAAATTGGTGCGACAAACAGGTTCGCATTCTACAAGGTCCACTAGAATTGTACAGAAAATGGCCACCGAAATTCAAAACTGCTCATTAGATAAGCTGAGACCGAAATCTACCCACTTAAACACTGTGGCCAATACGGATTCACTGGCCTCTATGGGCAAATTGGCTCGTGTATACACGAAAGGAAATCTCTTCTTTTTCTGAAATCAATGTTGTGGTCGAGTCCATTGCGAGTCCTTTCACAAGACCAGTCACAAGCAATGGAGAGGACAATAATAGCATGTTTTCCGTCACAGTTCATCAGAATAGCTTCTGGCTTGGCTTAAGAATGAATGCCTTGTCATGGACTTCCAGGGACTTCGATGCATGGACTTGACTGCAACGCCGGCTAGTAACGCTTGATTTGTGAAAGGCCACCTGTCCAATTATGTTGAACCGCACCGCAGAGATTGGGGTATGAGGGGTAAAAGCATTTCTGCGCGTTCTCGTGGGTCGTGTTCCATGATCCTTGAAACTGTTTGCAGATTGCGAGGTTTGGTGCGTATCATCACAGAAATGATGTACACTCGAGTTCGTGATTTCAACACGAACAATTCTCAAGGCAAATTACCGTCAGTTTTCACTAAACTACTGATATCCTTGAAACTCGTTCCAGTTGTATATTCAACGTAAGGACAATTTCTATGACCTTAACATTAACACAGAAACGTCGTAACAATCACTGACGGTCTGTGACCAACTTGTGATCAGTTTGTAATCGTGTTCCCCGTTTCTTGCGAACGACATTTAATGGCGAGAAGCCGACGATTTGTTTCAACTGCGACGCATAATCATGGTTTGTTTTTAATATCAGATCGTCATCGTGAAGCAACAGATGTACATGAACCGATAAAACATGGATTCAAAAACAAAGAGATGTGGAAGTATCAGAAGTCATCGGAGTCAACAGGTTTTAACAGCACTGTGTTCAACGGTAACGCAAAAAGAATATTTGCTGAATGATGTAATGCGCCCATTAAGATTCACCTCTATAATGCAGAGAAATTCGAACGCCCACCGAGCACGAGTTCACCTCGAGAAGTACCGAGCCGTGTCTAAAAAGCAATTTAGTCGACTCGATCACGACAGCTGCGCCTGAGGAATCCTGGAGTGCATAAATTAACAGACAACAAAAGATTCACGAACCTCAATGTCTCAATTTGACAACTGTCGAAATCATTCTACATGGTTTATTGGAAATCAGGCAAACAACAACTGCTTCGTGGTTTTCTTCTACCACGTACACGTGCAGAGAGTTGGTGAAAACATAAGAATGAAGCAACATTTGTACATCTAGAATACCACAACGGATTTCCTGTAAAGTACAGAATTGCGGGCACAATTTCTCCAAGATCCAAAGATTCGACGAACTAACTGCTACTTTGTATGTACAAGGCAAAAGGCCAGTTTAAAGTCTGTAACAATCTTACTACATTTCATTTGTTCCTTGTGTTTGAGCAGGTTTAATTTTCGTATGTACAACTTTTTCCAGTTTGAGCTGTTGCGTTATCTTCCACTACTGCTGTCAAGTAGTTATAAGATAAAAACATGTTTTGAAATTCCTTTACACGGCAAAATGTACATAACTAACATTCACGCGTTGAATCTAAAGACAGTATCACTCACAGAAATAATAAAGATGGATATTGAAAATTCCTCCATCACTTCTGCCCATGGCTTGTCTTTTTCAAACTCACTACGGTATATTTTTTACATAACTCCCTTTTCTTGTCTTTATGGCGCACTGCATTAACCTTTTCACCGTTTTTCTCAAACGATCTTGGGATCGTTTTGAGAGAAACCACTGCTCCGTCGTTCAAACCTTATCTTGGAAATCATTCATACAATCACGGACTGAAAATATGTTTCAGTGTCACACATATCACAAGTGTTGTTTTAAGCGAAGTAACAGGTCAAAGACTAATTCTTGGAACAACATATAAAACATTGTTAAGTAATTACATCCTTGCCATCAAGTGATATCAGTTCAGCATTTCTACATGTGCTCTCCTTTCTTAGTGTTACCACAAGGCATGAACATTGTAAGTTTACAAAAGTTTAACAGATGTTAATTACAGATGCAGAGCACGAATCTAAGTATGAAAAAGGGTTATTCTCATCTCAATAAACACTGAAGGAAGGTAAATGTATACAAAAATTTACTCGATGACTCCTACCATTAACAACATAATTGCAGGCCATTAACCCTTTAATACCAGAATAACTCCTCCAATTTCACTATGGTTTTTACAACCGCCCTTGGAGGTTTGGCATAGCCATTCAAAAGTTCACGAGGAAAAAATTAAAAGATACAGGTTTTTTTTGGTCATGAAGTGATTGCAATTTGATCAAGAATCTCGGAAAGTTAAATAGGAAGAGCACAGATCTGAATAAATGGATGAGAAGATCCTATGAAAGTGTTTGCTAGAAATCTTAAGGGAATATTTAGGCAGAAGCCTTTCCGACTGCTAAACTTTGATGCATTTGTGTAGATCTCACAGCATGCCTGAGGGATTTGGCTGAGACCGATTGAGAGGATAATGTGTGCTATTCTGCTGCTGGTGTTGATTCTGCGGTTGGTTCTGTTGTGGATAAGGGACGTGTGGACTCATGTTAGGGCCAGGATTCATGTACGGATTCTGTTGTACAGTGGGCTGCACGCTTGCCTGAAATCCCTGCTGGGAACTGGTTGACTGTGCACTGGCCGGCTGGAGTCCTGGCGGCTGCCATCCACGGGGCCAACCGCTGCCTTTGCTGGGAAAGGGGTCTGGCAACAGGGGCTTGGATTTGTTGGAAGCCCCAGGCATTCCAGGTTGCTGTAGCATTGCCTGCTGCTGTTGGTACTGCTGCAGTGGGTACTGGACCATCTGCTGCTGAGGTGGCTGCTGCTGCTGTTGATAAAGATTTTGCTGCTGTTGCTGAAATATGGCTTGCTGCTGCTGCTGAAATTGGGCTTGCTGCGGATACTGAACCATCGCTTGCTGGTACTGGTTCTGCAAGGCAGTGGTAGGGGCTTGATTTTGCTGCTGCGGCCCCGTCTGGACCTGCATGGTCCTTGCCGCTGTTTCTTGCTGCTGCAGTGTCTGAAGTGCTGCCTGCTGTGCCGCTCTCAGCTTTGCCTCGGTCTCCTCCTTTGAGAGGCTCAGGGGCTTGGGGGCTATGCCACTGACTTGACTCTTTGGGTCCTTGATGCCCTTGTTGCTAGCCTGGGTCCCGCTGAGTGTGCTCACAGGGGCCGTGCCATTAGCAGAGGTGCCAAGTTTCTTCAGCATCGTCGGGCCAGACTGGATCAACTTGTCAAGCACCTTCTGTACGTCTGGACTGTCCAGATCAATATCTGTGGCTCCCTTACTGGTTGAGGCAACTGCTGATGCCTGGGTCTTCTTAACCGATAAGAGACTGCCCCCGTATGAAAAAGGAACAGCCACATCTGGTTTGGACACTGGCTGTGGGGCAGTCACTGTAGCCGTAGATGTCTTGGAGGTAGTGACGGAGGCTGTGGCTGAGCTGCTACCTGACGGGTTGAAAATGCTCAAAATCTTGGCCTGCAGCTCTGCCTGTTTTTTATCGACTGGAGCGGCAGCAGTGCTCACTGTAAAATGTCCAAAATAATTCTGTTCAATAAGCATTTGCTGCACTTCAAGAGTGTTTAATGGCCATCCACACAGTTTACTGTTTATAACACCTGAATGAACTGACTTTAAATTTGCTACAATCAAACACTAAAGGGGTGCATTTATTAAAACTAAGAGTTAAATCACTAAAATCGTGAGATTTGAAGCAGGTTTTTATGTTCAAAACATCAAAGCATTGTGCCATCTCTTCCCAAAAGGATTACCTGTTTTAAAAACAATCCTAGTCAAATAAAAATTCTTGAACTGGTTTATAAACAACAGAATGAGGCAAAATCCGTTAGGAAATTTAAGAAATCAGGCTAGGAAACAAAATGAACACAGAAGCAATGCACAGGCAGAATTCTGTATTTTTAATGTACGGTAAATGGTTTTGTTTACATTGACAACTTTTATTTCACCTTTTGAAAGAATCATATTAAAAACACATTCAAGTGGAAAGCAATATACTAAAAATGATACACAGAGGTAATGTTTTTATCTAGAATTAAAGCTGCATTCACAGCAATGCTTCTGATTTTTTCATAACGTTTGCAACACACGTAATGTGGAAAAGACCAAAGTGACCTGAGCCTGATATGTGAAACAAGTGGTAGACTCACCTGCTGGTTGCTGTGTATTCGAGGTTACAGCATTAGCGGAGCTAGAGGCGGGCGAAGTAGGCAGGTCCGGATTCAGGCCCTGCTCTATGGCCATTTTACGCCGGACCGCCTGCAAGTGAGCGATCACCCGGTCCATCTCGCTCAGCGTGAGCTGCTTGCGGTCAGCCAGCAAGTTGATGAGTTGGGGTATAGTCAGCTCCACGGCTGGCACGGCCAGGGCGGCCGGAGCCGGGGCCGGAGGCTGCGGTGTGGGGGGTGCCGGGGGTTGGGACTTAGGCAGGGGTGGCTCCCCCGGGAGGGGCGCCAGGGCTGAGGCGGGGGCTGAGCCTGAGGAACTCTTGGTTGGCAAGCCCCGATCTTGGAGATACGCGGAGAAGTTACGATCGACTAACGCCAGGGCATCTTCTAACGGCATGTTTCTGTGTTCTGATTTGCATACAAGGGGGAAAGAAATAAAATCTTCTTGTTAGACAACTTGAAAAAGGTTGAAGGTTAAAATACAAGGAAAGCCTACATCTTAGATATACATTTCTAAATACATGCACAAATGAATATTGATACATGCAGATTCCCGTGTGGTGTACCATAAAATTCATTCACCTTCACTAAAACTGAAGAGACATCTGATAAAGCTGTGCCGAAAATCTCAATTTTGATTATCGACTATTTGAATATTACTTTCCAAATTTAAATATTCCAATGCAAAATTCATGAAAAGGTAGAATTTTCTTGCTTTAAATGAGAAACTTGCACTATGGAGGCTTGTTTCAAGCAGATTCAAACGAAAAGTGACAGAATTCTTACGATTCAGAAAGTAAATTATTCATTACAAAATTTAAAAGGACAGACATCTTCAACAGGGCAAGAAGTACTGTTCGTCTCTTAAATCTTGCAAAATCGTGGCTGAAGATACTCCCAGAGGTGAGAAGCTATTATAGTGAATGTGATGTACAATTGTGTGTGTTATTGTGACTGATTTTTGTATACGGTTTGTTCATCAACAATCTGCTAGTCGGTGCGACCTAATATTCGGATATTCAATCAAATTGAAGGTCAAATATTCGAATAATGAATTATTTGAAATGACTCAGCCCTTACATCTGAATTAACAATGAACATATTCTATATGCTACAACCAACACCAATTTGAACGTCAAAAAAGCAAACAATATAACAAGACAATAAAGTCACTGCAAAACCAATTTTATTTTGAACCTTTTTGTCTTTGTCCTATATTTAAAACATACCATTTAATTTGTAATTATATTCCAAATTGGATACTCTGTGAGTTTTTTCATTTTGTGCGGGGTTGAAAAGCCATTCACATAACAATTTATGTGACTCTTTGCATTTATTTTTCCACTCTACAAAGAAAATACGAAAAGACCACAAATGACTTGTTGACGGTAAATGCTGACCCACATCCCCCCATCCACGTGGAACTATGAAGAGTTGGCATCTTTCCTTTCCTGATGTACCCACAGGAATCTGCTTAAAGAAAACTTTTGCTATCACTAAGCTAAGATAGAGCCCTCCATCAAGTGCATGCGAAGAGTCTGACTGTACATCCTGGATGCTGGCAAACCTGAAATGTAACTATGCTCTTTTACCAGCGATTGCCATGTTTTTACTGGTATCCAAGCATCTTTGATCTCTCAAACAGATTCTGAGAAAAAGTGTTCCACAGAATGAAAAAGAAATTTCAAGCTCCACAAACATTCTGCAAGGGCACATGTGCAAAGTCGATCACAAGCAAGTTAATTGATCTTATTTTAACAATCACTTTGAATAAACATAAAACACAGCCTAACTAGGATTTTGCCTTCTCCAACCATCAAATCCGATGTTCAAATCTTTGCCCTCTGCATCTCGATTTAAAATGACTGACAAACAAGTCAATGACACGGCCTTCACAATAAGTTCACAGAACACTTGAGGTTTGAATTTCAGTGCTAAATTTATTTGTACAGCTGTGTGATGAATATTTGATGGAAATAAATCACGTATAGTTAACAAAAGCAAAGATAACTTAGCAAAGAGTTACAAAATTTGAGGAGCTAATGACTTGAAGAGGATCCACCATGAAACTCTGCTCATATCCAAGTACCTACTGCTGAAAAGAAAAGCCATTAATGACTCCTTCAACCGATCCCTTTTAAGGTAAAAATTGAACTGGCTAGTTTTAGAAAATGAAAAAGCTGCACATTAAACTTCCAGGCAGATGACTGTTGGACATCAACTTCCTGCACCTTCAGAAAAAAAAAAATCAACGAAACATAGGAAGGAATGACAAAAATTGGGCATCAGGTTGATTCTTACCTTGAGGGCTTCCGTGCAGGATGTTGAGGGTGACAGAGCGATGCACCTCGTTCTGCGTGGTCAGGATGATGGCATACAGGACTTTGCGCCGCGTCACGTCCTCAAGGGCCTGGGTGAGCGAACCCTCGTTGGAGATCAGAAGCAGGCCGGTGTTGAGAGACAGTGCCTTGATGCGACGCTCAACCAGATCTGCGTAATCCCTGAATGAGGAGGCAGACCATATTTCGGTGTCGATAAGCAGTTAGCAATCCTCACTGGCTGTGATGAGTTGAAGTCTAGTTCCCGTGATGCCATACCTTGGCTCTCAGAGTGGGCACAGCTGCTTCAATCGTCCCATTTGCCTATATCCAGACTACTGCAGTGGACTGATTGCCCAAAATGCCCTCTGAAGGCTCAAAACTTGACATGGTCCATTGTTTGGTGGTGAAACTTACAAATTAAAGTAGGAGCCCATTCCTTTGAATGACGTGTAATAGAATGTTATCACCCTTTAGCCCATTAAAAATTTTTGCATTCCTGGCATAAAACAGGTTGGATTACTTCAAATTTGACAACATCACACTTCATCAGAAGTACATTTCTAGGGCACCACTCTCAGTGAATACCACCCATTAGACTCATTGACAACTTACCTCAGGTGCTTTCCCATTAGGAGTATCTCACAATCGATGGGCTTGTCAGTTGAAGGGAGGGAAGGAGGGGCAGCAGAGGCCCCTATCGTGTCGACAATCGATGGCTCAGGACGGGGGGGTGCCCGCCTATCATAAGCATCTCTAGCATCTCTGGGAAGGCTGTCCCTGTCTAAGATGTCTCTGGGAAGACGTCCACGGTCAAGGGGATCCCGTCTAAAGAAGAAAAACTACAGTGAGAGAGTTCTAGAGCAGAGTTTGAAGGGGAAAACTTGACAGGGGGCAACAGAGAAATGATCAGGGGATGTTTACGGGGGGAAGAAGTTTCAAGGGGAGGGGATTGCTGTCCACTGTTTTCTCTACCTATCTCTATCTCTATCCCTACTCCTGTCTCGCTCCCTGTCTCTGAATGCAGCTTCCCTGCGGTATTCATCTTCTGGTAGATAGCGGTCATCATAGCGATCTCTGAGAGGAAGCCGATCCTCATAGAACAGGTCCCGCCTCCTAAGGGAAACAATCATTCCATACGATTATACAATGGTGAGAAACTTTAACTGCACCACTGCCTGCAACTTTCCAAGTTTACAGAATGTTAAAAATTTAACCTAAACACTCCCCCCGATTTTCAAATGAAAGCAAACATCAAGCTAGCTCTCATCTCAAAGAGCCATCCATAAACTTAAGGCTGCATACCTAACATCTTCACGATCCCTCTCGTACAGGTCTCGGCCACGGTCGTATCGGTCATAGTAATGGTCATCATACCGGTCACGGAGGGGAGAACGCTCCCGTCCACGTGGGAGCAGATCCCGCAATGTTGGCAAGTCTCGCTCTCGGTAACGACCCAATTCCCTGCAAACAGAATTTGAAGATTGCAAAATTTGAAGAATTGGCTCTCCATTTCTCTGCACTGCAAGGGTCCTATGTGTAAAAAAAAACCAACAGAGTGTAGTAGGTAGCCTAACGAGTGAATGAGGTCATGTCCTGGTCGAGCAGCTGTCGTTGAAAGTGCGGGTATCACATTTGTATAAGTAGCTGTAACCAATAGCCAGTGGCTCCCATAGGTGCATGTGTTATTTCAAACTACAGCCACAACTTTCAGACCAAGCCTAGGCCTGAGTGACTACTTTGCTAATTTATATTTTCTTCTTTAACTGATACAGTCGGGAACCAATGCAAAAGGGACTCTTAAGAGATAGTGAAAGGGGAAGCTTACTAGTCAAGTGTGTGATGTGACACAAACAATGTGCATTTATTTGGCTCTGCATCCGGGAAATGTTAATTTTAAACTCGGGTTGCCTCGTGACCAATATGCATATTCACACTGATTCTCAGCGTGGTCCGAGAGTTGCACAAAAGTCGCAAGCTTACTCTGGTGGGGTTCGAACCCGCAACTTCCTGCCTACTAGTGCAAGCATTATCAAATCAATGCAGCAGTGGGTACAAGAAGTAGTCTATGATTTCCATTTGGCTTTTTCCTCCGGGAAATGTTCATTCTATACTATCTTTTGCTCTTGCACGACGAATTAATGAAATACTGCAGGTGTGCAACAGGGAACTCAGACGAACAAGGAAACTTCTTCAGAATTTGTTTTCAGTTTTCAAAGTGGAATGTCACACAGAGGCTCAGCTGAGGAAACGCTCCATGCTGTGAAGTGTCTTGGCAACATCCATTTATCAAGGCCAGCCATTTATCAAGGTCACACAAGCCGTGGTACAGATCTTGTCCTCTGTGATTTGCATGTCTCCATCACTGGCAGAGAGGGCATGCACTTCCCAAATCCCAAGACCCCGCATTCCCTCCCCCTGCACCATGCTAAATCATTCCTACCTCTCTCTATCAAGGTACAGATCTTGTCCTCTGCTGTTAGATTGTCTCCCTCCATCGTCTACATTGATAGCTTTCCCAAACCTATCTTTATTGGCAAGAGTGACAGCTACAACGAGAGATGAGTGAGAAACGAAAACACAGTTGGTACAACACTTTTTTCCAGATGGTATGTTTACTCAAGTTGACATATGGAAGTGCACCAAAGAAGTCCACTCATCAAGTGGAGCTCAGTCAATTTTTTTATAACTGTTGCACATGATACATTCTTCCAAAAATGAACCAAAATACAACTCCACATGTCATTTTTAAAAAACTTTTAAAAGAGTGAGTTTGGTCATTTAAAACACAAATTTGCACCCTTAGGTTTATAAAAATGATTCATTTAGGGATAATTTTGAATACTACATGTACATTTTGTGGAGATTTGGTTGGCTACCAGTGCAAATCACTGAGTTGAACTCATTTAAAGTTTCAAGTGTTTGTACTGGTCAGCGGACTTGGTTTAAAAAAATCAGTATATTTTTCAACAGATGTAATTCAAAGCCCCTAAAACCTTTAACCCTAACCCCCTAGGGTGTATGTAAAAATCATATTGAAATCAGAGAATTTGGGACTGTTAGGGTGAGAAAAAAAAGGCCATGGAAAAAACTGTCCAAAATTAATGGAAAACAATTAGACAGATTTGGCTGCATCAAAAAATATACATGTACAATGGGTGCAACATGTTTGTTGATGAAATATTCAACAGAAATGTGATCTTGTATGAGAATTTCAACGGAAAATGCATGAGGTCTGACAATACCAAAAACGCTGTCTCGTGTAGTGCTCAAAAAATTCCACGCATGATGTTCAGTTTGCCATTTCTTTGGGAGCAATCCCCGCTCAAAATTACATCAAAATTAAGAACTCAAGAGCATTTGATTTTCATTACAAACCATATTTTATGTCTCAGACGTTATTTTTTGGAGAACCTCATTTAAGTTTAACAAATTTTCTCATGAGAAACCCAAATTCCAAGAGAAAAATCCTGGAGCACTGTACTTTAAAGGAGGGGTTCATGACAACTGAATAAAAAAAGAGGGCACATTATCTCAGCTCAGATGTCAAAGGTCAAACAGCCCACGCAGCAGCAAAACACTTCTGCAATGTCGCTGTGAAAGACTGATGGAAGTCCAGAAGTCATTGTGATCAGTATTCTGGACCAGGGTTAATTGACACGTACTTGTACTTGATAAAAATGTGATTGTTCCAGTCGTGAAAGGATGATGTATGGTTCAGGGACCTTTCTTGTGTTCATTTCTGAAGCTCATGCTGAATATTGTTTTTGATTCACTCACTGGTTGTTAATTGTCAATCTTTTGACAGCATTCAATGATGTTTGCAACTGCCGACTTCAAGACCTAATAATCTTTGAGACTTGTTTTCTAATTTCAGGATTACGGTTTTATATATCTCACCACTTACAAATCTGTGTACAAATTACTGTGGGAATTATTCATGATGATTTTTGGGAGGCTAAGATTTAAAGGTTGTTCATGTCTGTCAAAAATGATGACATTCAAGACTTCATAATAAACCCTGATTTGGATGAATATTGGCACAGTCATTGGTGCTCCAGATATCAGTCATGACTCCCCTCAGTTCGTCATACATTGTGAATCAATTCAATGCTGTTCACTTCAGGAAATAAGAGCCCCCTAAGTTCACTGTTATCTAAAGGCTCACATTTTGTAGAACCTGCTACATCGACATCTCTACTGTGTACTGTGGAAAGATTTAATGAACTCTTTACTACAAAAATTTAAAAAGGAGCATGACTTTGTTTTCACTATTACCTATGTTCTTTCCTTCAAAGACGGCTTGGTTTTCTGCTTCGATAGCTTGAGCTGCGTCAGTTGAACTGCCGTATTGGACGAAGCCAAACCCTTTTGTTGTATGGACAAACAGTTCTGCAGAAGAAAATGTACTTTAGTAAAGTTCAAATTATGCGGGAACCAGAACACAGACTGTGCAAATGGACCAAACCAATGGGTGAACAAGCTGTGAAAGAAAGGAGAGAGAGGAAAGAGCAGGTTTTAGACTGACAAACATACAGGTTACCCCGAATGGGGCTCAACTAGCTGCTCTTTATCTTTCGTAGGTTTGTTTTATGCACGTGCACGTATGTCAGACAGGATCCAATTAACTGATGTGACCTCCATCATAAATCACAGCAAATACTGGCACTTTTATGTATGTGTGGTTTCACCAGGGAGTTAGGGACCGGAGTAAGTTTGTTTTAATAAAATACTTTTCAAATGATGGAGACATCGCATACATTTCTCAGTGGATGACATATTTCCAGGTGGGGCAAAACTTCTTTTTTTTGATGAGGGGAAATTTGTCTTAAAGTAACCTTATTATGACCTTTACAATGTACCGGTACAAGGGCTGGGGTCAGTACTTTTGGTGCTTTTTACACATTCCAAGAAAGAAGAGAAGGGAAATACATGTGCATCCCACCCCCTGAAATGAAATTACCCTGCATTTTTCAAAACCAAATTGCATGGGGGCCCACCTCCCCCGCAATCTGCTCTGGCATATTCCATGCAGGAGACTAACTGCATGTGATACCAACCACAAGTTCAATTCTTTCTTCTCTCGTGAAGCTCATGTGTGCCTCTTATTATGTATAACTATAACACGCTCTTCAGGCAACGGGCAAATCATTGATGAACTGAACCATCATTTAACACAGCTGGACTAGCTTCTACTGAATGCAGAATGTTGGTTCAAAGAACTTTTGTTCCACAGGGACACACGAGTAGACCATTTGTACTATCCCTCCAAAACAAATGCAGTTACTGGAAAGATGGCTAACATGCAGAACGTCTTTACAAGTTGACAGAGTCAAAACACATAGCTCATTGCACATAGCTGTTTCTCATCCATCTTGTTTTGCAGTATAGATGTGATTTTTAAAACTTGACCATTGACGTAAAAATAATCCTGCAAGCCGCACCGACTATTAAGAGTAGTGGGGAAATACGTGTAGAACTGCTGGAATACATGTATGTGTCATCAGTGACAAAGTACTAGATCAGTCATATTTCATGAAGGCAGCCTGTCTGTTTGTCGAGTCTACAATGTAGTATTTGCAAATGTACCTACCATATATGGTTCCATGCTTAGCAAACTTGGCTTTCAGGTTTTCCTTGTTCACATTTTCATTCAGGGGAGCGACATGGAGGCGAGCATTGGGTGGCAAGTCATTGTCCCTCATGGTTCCAACAGCTAAGGGATCTACATACAAAAAATAAAAATAATTAAATTAAATTAACCACTTGCCTCCGGGGTTCCCGGTACAGGGTGCCTTGGGTTTGTACGCAAAGCAGGGGTGCCCGAAATCAGACATAGGAGCTGGGCCTTGTAACAGATGACCATACTCGGAACAAAAGACCAAACTGCTGGAAATTGCCATCATTTTACAGTTGGCATTAGCACAGGTAATCCGTCATTGTTTTGAAACAGTATACCACTGTTATGCGGCATTCAGCACCCCCCGCAGATTATCAGCGGGGACAAAAGTGCTCTAGCACTCCAGTGATGAGCGATACAGTACCGCTGCAAGCTAATCTTGCCGCATTTGAAAAGACAACACTACCATTCAGCAACGCACAGGCCGATTACGAGAACAAAGGAAATTACGCGACTCCGCACAATCTGGGCTCTCTTTAGTGGGCCGCGGGTCTGGCTGCAATACTCAGGTGTGAACGGAGGTTGCCTGTCAGATTAGAGTAGCCACCAGACAGTCATTCGTGGGTGTAAACGTCTAGTAACTGAAGTTATGAATTTTTGAAGAATTTCGAAAACGGAAAGTCTTGAAAATCGCCCAGGAACCAAGATGTGCAAATTCCAGCCGGCAGCAAGTGATTAAGTAGCTGTTCAGTGACCATGGTGACTCACCAATCCTTTATTTTAAGAGAATTCGGAAGAGCAATAAATCGCTCTCCTCAAATCTCTATGGAGAGCAAATCGCTCTCCTTAAAATAAACCAATCAACAGTTTCTAAGTGGAAACAAGGCTAAACGATGGTTTGTACTGTGGAGTCTATTGTGTTCTCCTTTCTCTGTTGGTTTATATGTTTCTTAGGGCAATTTTTAGAATTGATTTAGTTTTAGTCAGTTAGAAACATGGGTTTATGACACATACATCACCTCAGTGCCTGTTTTCCTTTTATTTGGACCTGAATTTTCATACCTAACATTACATGTAAGTTTCAACCTACATGTACAAATCAACACCTTCTAGTTGTATGTCATACACATGTCCCTTTAATTTAAATAAAAGCGAAAGTGAACCCTTTTCAGTATACATGCAACATGTATACGTGCGTGCAGGACCTGTTTGCCAGTCCAAAAGCAGGCCGTGCTCGTATGAGACAAATCACACAGTCCCTTTTGTTATCCACTGTTTTTGTCATATCGTTCGTTATCTGTAAAGTGCCCTTATATTTTTAGGAGCGTTATTTTTTACGCTCAATTAGGAGTGTTGAGGAGAGCAGTAGCAGCACCTGCGAGATCGTGCTCCTTAAAAATGATGGACTGGGTGACCAGATTAAATTTTAGAGGGCCATTGTGCAAGCATTCTCACAACAGAGTAAATTTGGAGTGCACCTAATAAAGAATTTATTGGAACACAAACACAGTCAACTCTTGTCATAAATAACACTTTTATAACAAAATACTAGTATAAAGTGAAAATTCTGAGTATCCCTATTTCTTTATTTCGTGCGTGTTCTTTGTTCTTCCAACCCTTTTAAAACAAAGTCTTGGCTATCCACCCAGAGCATGAAGTGCACCCCCAAGAGGCAAAAGAAAGACAGATAGTTGTAAGTTTTCCAAGTGGGTTCTTGCACGCGTTCTGCATGTACGCAGAGACCATACATTAAGGAATAAACTCACTACGCATACTCAGCGTGCTGTGTCAAACACACCATTGACTTCCATTTTAAACATGCGCCTATGCGGTGAGTACCAAAAAAAGCCCTCTTTTGCTGCGCTTGGAGCAAATAACACAGTAATTTGTCCGGTCCCTTCAAATTGTTGTAATGCGAGTTGACATGGTATAAGCGATTGCCCAACCACTAGATCCCTGTGTGCCTTGAAGAACTTGTGCAATTTATCGGCTGTGCAGGAACAAGCCTAGGTAATCAAAGAATCAGGAACACTGCTAAAATGCCTTAGCATTGATAATGCCGCTTAGTATTCTTGCACAATAATGCCGCTTAGTGTTCTTGCACAATATCCGTTTTGCAGTTGGTCAATGGCAAAAACCCTACTCTGTACAACTGACTGCGGCCAGAAGACTTTTGCACATTCAGCTGGTTATACAGGTACATGTACATGTAGCTGTCAGAGATACTTTGAAACTGAGTTGCACGACTGGTCCAAAATTTCCTTTGCAACCAAGGCGTTCTTCCTTTAAAACAACTGTGTTATATATCTAGCCACCACAATTTCCAAATTTTATAAACATCCTCAACTTTTAAAAACTCAAACAACTTTTCCTCTGAATATTTCGGAAACATGGTGTTATCTGACGACCATGTCAACACCCTTGCCGTTGTTAGGTGTTGCTCCGGCACCACTGAATGTTGCTTTTAGCACCTGTGGGTGCGGGGAGCAATGCCGGCAGTGTTGGGGTGACACATTTTGGGTGGGGGTGTAGTCTTCTGGTTGCACCGGGAGTGTTGTTTTTGGTACCACAGTTTTGCATGTGTCTTTGTATTTTTTATGTATTATTTTAATTGTAATTGTATTCTTAACATATTAATATAGGTGTTATTTTTATTTTTTTATATTGTAAAGTGCCTTAGAGCCTTTTTGGATTAAGGAGCTATATAAGTGGGGTGTAATAATAATAATAATAATAATAATATTTTTGCTTTTCCTCAAGCTAAATGGACTTGTCTTCAAGGTGAGGTGGAATTTATTTTGTTTGATAGCACGTGAGTACATCGTGGTTACAGTGTATAATCATAGAGTTATAAAAACTAGAGTGCTAACTTCTCATTCTCTGTGCTGAAAACAATTGACGCATTCCTGAATGCAGAAATTTGGAATCCATGTGCATGCTTGTAGAACATTCAAAATCAGATAGAATGAATATCGAATAATGTATTTTAAATGCAATGCGCATGTACAACATACGCAAACGTCAGCATGTCTTTTGAATACGACACACATGTACAGAGCAATGGCACATGTTCATTTGCATCCATAGCTGATTATTTCAAAACGAACGTTTCCCTAATATTCGAGCAAGGCCGTCCTTGCTGTCGTATGCATGAGCCCCAAGCGTGCAGCGCTAACGGCAGCCAGCACAACGTAGCAGCGCAGTACGGTGCACACATTGGCCGTTCATACATACACCGCACTAGCAATGAAATGATGCCGCAAATATGTATACTCACACACACCAGTACGCTTACTGCACAAGTGGGGAATTCAGTCTGTGAATCTGCATAGACGCCTTGAGATGAGGCTAGTACCATATGCTGAAACAATCAAACCACGGCAGCAAAATGGAAGACTAATTACACATTTCTTGAATTAAATGAAACCTGGTAAGCTTGGTATACCATAGCTGAATGGGTCCTCGGAAGTGTTCGATGAAGAGCAGTGTTTTCAGTCGCAAACATGCATTTCAGGGCTCAGATTTAATGTTAACTTTCTGAATTTTGTCGCACCACTGCCAAATAAAATGGTGAGTCGATGTCCAACATCAACATACACGCATTGCAAGGGTTGAAATTAACTTAAATCTCTTGGTGGCTCATAGGGCCAGTGGAGGTGCACCGCACTCGCCCTCAGAAAAATTTGATGGCCTGGGTTGAGTACATGTAATATCAGGCCCACCACATATGCCCCTTTGCGTAAGTAAAACTTCTCTACTAAAACAGCTAATTGGCCAGCCCAGCTGGATTTAAATTCACTTTTTAAGGCCTAAAAAACTAGTTCTGCTTCTGGTTATGCGACCGATGCTAAATTTTTGGCGCAACCGTAAAATTTATACCGGTACCTTAGAAAAACACTGTTAGAAATTAAGAAAAAACCTGTCTTTTTTGTCTTCAAAACACCTCAACAATTTTTTCACACCAAGTAAGCTTGTATTTCTTGTTTGCTTGCTTACAACTGCAACTTTGGAAAGAAAGTTCCGTTATTTTTACAAGTTCCCTTCACATTTTGTTATCGCGGCGGTGAAAACACACACGCAATATTGCTGGATGCATACAGCTCATACATGTACGAATGACCCGTACATGTGCGAACGGTCGTGCATACAGCACGACCGTGCAGTTAACAAAATGTTGCGATGATAGCAGGCAATAACAGCTGCACGCACTGTGGAATTATACCATGAGTTCGAAAGTGCTACCTTGGTGATTTGAATCATGAATCCTTGCTCAAGATGAAATTGTAATGTGATGTATTATCTTACAGATTCATCTTCTTTTTTGAAATGATACATGTACATATTAAGGGATCCAGAGCTCCAGCATGAGCATAAACTTCAACCTCCCCAAAAAAGCCTATGAATTTTAAGACAAAGATTTTCCAAATCGATGAAAAACGTTGACAAAAAAAATGGAAGGCACTAATGATTACTGAGGTTTCCAAAATGCTTTACACATGAAAGTTTCAAGCTGCTTGGTGTGAAGCAAACTGAAGCAGGCCTTCATGAGGCTTATGGTTTTAAGAGAGCATCTCTGACTCCTCTTCCCCCCCAAAAAGGTATGCCAAAGACCAACACGCTTGGTCTAGCTACACGTACCTGCTGCTCTAAAATTCAACTCGTCACTTGCAATTGCAAAATTCGGTCTTGCTTATGGTGCTTTTGATTCCGAGTAAAAAAGGCAGATCGATATCGCAATTTGTGTGTGATCACTACTTACTGCTAGTGTGCGCTAACACTCAGCACACTGTTCCCGAATTATGGCATTGCTCTTGCCTGTGCATCACGATCATCACGCATGCAATGTTATCCTCTTTTTATGCCTCATTTATCAAGATAAGTTACTGTTTCATTTTCATACCAATCAGATCTCTACAATATTGAGTATTTATATATGTACATCTTTAATTTAATCAATAAAAATCTGCACAATAAAACTCTGCACAAATTAAACACTTCACAGAGATCGTTCATCGTTCATCGTTGATGAACTTATTCCCATACAAGCACCCTGCATAGAGCCGGCTACGCTGACCAAGGTTATTAGTATAGCACAGCAGGTCGTTCGCTAATTTTGTTTATAAACCCAACTACATGTGTACATGAAAAGCAGAACAAACTGTGAACATTTTAGGGGTAACCAATAGGGGGTTATCGGTCAGTCTAAACGGAACTGCATTTTTTATATCGACAGGTGGGTTAGAGCCACGCACTAGATCATGGCCTCAATGTAACAGACCTTCACCACTGTTTACTGGAAATCACACACGCGTAGTCAGGTAGTGTGTGCACACAGCTTGGATCCTGCATGTCCATGCACTTTGCAACTCAAGAACGAATGAACATGAAGTACTAAGGATGTTACAATCCGCTCTTTGCGATTAGAATGTCACTACAGCGCGTGCATAGGCATTTGCGGGAACATTGGAGGCTGTCCCTGAAATGACGTGTTTCTGTGGGTTATAAAGGGGTATTCCCCATTAGGTCATCAATATGACGTATTCTGGTCAAGTGGTACCATCATTACAAAAAAAAAGAGGTCATAACTTCTAGGGATCTAGGACTTCTGAAATTAGTTTCTTCAACAAAATTACAAGGTAAACATGGTCAACCAAGAAATTAGAACCAATTTTTGGTCGTCTTGCACACAAGTCTTAGAACATAGACGTCAGTCGTATTGCAATGAAGACTGGCGTCCAACCTGGGCTGGTCCCATGAGTCCTAGGCCTACACCCAGGCACATTTTTTAGGACCACTGTCAGTGAATCACATGCAATTAGCCCAGGTGGACTCTCTGACCGTAGGCCTACGTTACGGAGGGATGTAATGAAATGAAGAAGACAACGTCAAAACTGGGCTAGTGATGTGGCAATGATCAGCGCTAACGTTACATGTACGTTACGCGTTAGGTGCTTAGCGATGCAACACCAGATAAACGTAAACTATGTTATTGCTGACCAATAATAAATGATCTCAAGTCTTTCCTGGGACACATAACGTCAACAATTTGTCATCCTCGAGTAGTAGCCACTTACCTTAAATAACATTCACACAGGCTTTTCGAGCAAAAAAGAAACACAAGAAGAGGCAAAAACGACAGCGACGAGAGTTGCACGCGCGCCTGGGATATTAAACCTGGGAACGTGCCCTTATACATTGTACTCTATTTTATTTGCAACTCGTTCAAGAGGTGGAGGTTGAAATGATTTATGTTTGCTTTGGCACCAGTCTATATTTTCCTTTATATATTATATTTTGAGTAGTGTGGAGCCTGACCGTCTTTTCTTCTACTAAAATTACATTGTTACTAAAATACTAACTTCGTACTTCAACTTGTTCAGCCTTCAGGTATATGTTTTGTTTGGAGGACGCATATATCTTGGTGTGACCATAGAGCAAGGACGCAGTGCGTTTTCTTTACTGGCATCATTGTCATTGATTGGTTCAAATAAAGGTCAGCTTATTCCTTTAAAATAGAGTGAATTACACCATTGAGGTAGAAATAGGGCTCCTGATCTTAGTTAATGTCGATGTTGTTTTCAACCTCCTCCAAGTCCAAGTGCCAACTCCGAGGTCATGAAGGTGTTTTGCAATTGAGCGGGGTGGGGATATGGGGACGCCCCCTCTCCCAGCATAGCGGGGGCCCAGCCTCTGGGATGCCATTCTCCCTCCCTCTGTACAAGCATGGAGGAAAAAGAACACAATACATGCAATACATGTACATGGACCTATAATACTAGTACTAGTTCCACTTACATGACTAAGCATGCTTAGTGGAGCACAAGACTTTGACCTATCAAGATTTTACACATGGAACTATTTAGGGTTTTTAGAATTTTATTGTAATCTGTGTATTTTTCTGTCATTAGCGCAGTGTACATGTGTCCTATTACTAAATGAGGAATAAGTTTATTATTTATTCCGGTATTAGTTATTTTGTTATTTCTGGATATTACCGTAGGCCTACTTTTACTTGTTAATTATTTTTATAAGCGCTGATATTGATAATCAGTGTCCTGTCTTTTCCCCTTAATATATTGTGTTATTTATTCTCTTTTTCTGATAGCATCTTAGGAGAGCCTCATGATAATGATTAAGTTTGCTTCTTGGCAGTCCTGCAGGGGTTTTACCAGTTTGTACTGTGTATTTAGTAATTTTCCATGTCCTGTTTTATGCTTGTTGTCTTCGTCCTGATACATGTACCTGAGAAATAATAAATGAAATGAAATGAAAATGAAAATTTAGGCCTTAAACATTAGGACCTAGCCTAAGTTACGCCTAGGCCTAGTCGGAGTCACTTGGCATGTTTGGACTCTTCTACAAATTGCCTTTTTTAACATTTGGACATGGTTGGGCCCTATCGGCCTACCATGTCCAAATGTTAAAAAAGGCAATTTGTAGAGGCCAAGTTACTTGGACTAAGTTATGCCTGGGCTTGCTACTCATACTCTTCCATTTCTGCTTTTTCAATCCATGAACTGATCCAATACAAAATTCAAAAAAGAGGACTAGGCCAAGGCCTACCGGTAGGCCTACTAGTGCTCCACTGAGTGGAGCTGTACCTACAATAATAACAATGATAATTGAAAATTTGTAATGCGCCATTTTCATAAATATGATCAACGGCGCAGTACAGGTACAATGAATGAATGTCACGGTGTGCTAGTACCCAAACCGTACTGTGGGGATCGTCTGTCTCGTCAACAGGGAGAATAATTTTACCTAAACCTAACTCTGCTGACATTGGGGATGTCTCAATCTTTCCCCGGGGACAGACGCCTCTATCCTTACCTAGAAAGAGAGGTAACTACCAGATATGGTGACACTACCTATAAATATCCACAAATGCCCCCAAGAAAGATACTCTGTTAGTTAGGCGATGGTGTTTTCCTTTGAGTTCTCATGTTTCTGCGTCATTACACGACTGCTTTGATTCAAATTTTACATTGTCATGACTGTGTGTTTTACTGTGACAATCATACACTTAGATAAGATACTGTTCACTTCAACCACAAAGGGCAAGTGTAGGCCTATGACTGAGTTGGAATGGTAATGTTTGCTGACTTGCTGATTACATGTATCTCAAATTTAAAAAACCTGCAGATCAAAAAGTATTTTACGATGAAAATGCCGGTGGAGCAAGTGCAGACAGAAGGTAAGGAGTCAAAACCTGATTGACTCAGTGCAAAAGATGACATTTGATGTTTTAAAAAAATGGGTAGGGGCAGTGTTGTATCCGGGGCAGTGTTGTACTTTCTCATAAATATTGTTTAGAGTGTGAAGATTGTTGGATGGGTCCAAATTAAAGTTTCTTAATAATTGACTTATGAATTCTTTTCTGGTTTGGTGTGTTTGGACATGCCAGAGAAAAATGAAATTCATAACATAGGTATCAACTTCAATGAGAGTTTTTTGTTACACACAGCAGTTTAATATGAGCCGTCTGCTATTATTTGTATATCATTCCATGTCTTTGGTGAATAAATATTACATATATTGTTTCGGTTTGTTTTATCTGTTATTCAGATTTGAAGGCATTTGAGCGCAGGTTGACTGAGTACATTGCCAACCAGCGACCACAGTCATGGTGTTGGAGAGGTAAGTAAACATGGCTCGTTTTTATAAAGTGGAGGATTTGAACTTTCTAGGGGGTTGGAAACTTAATGCACTGATCATTAGTTCACATGAATTACCGACGTTTTTCAATATCACTTTAAAAAAATCATGTTGTTATTGCATTATCAAGGTCATTTTAAGAGTTTTAATTCATTAAGATTCATTTTTTTGGCTTGCAGTTACCTCAAATTTCTAATTTAAGGTAAAATAAGTAATTGATGAATCCTCTGTCATTTTTCCGCAGTTGTTCTTGTTATCATATCAACAATCACAGCTCTAGGTGCGTGGTGTTGGCTTCTGGATAAGGAAACATCACAAGTTAGTCCATTACTTTGGATTTTCTTTTTCCAATTTTCAGGAGAGTTACTGAATAAAAGAAAAGTTCAGAGATATTATATTTTGTAGGTTGGTTATTTTTTGACTTTCAGAAATGTCACCTCCATTGTGACAATTTATGACAGCGGTCCATATCCAAGCTACACTGATGTGACATCACTTTAATGTTTTGACTTTTCAGTCTGAAGACCAAAGGTCATTTCCTTAATACTTCTTGAACCAGTAACAGCATGTGGCATCAGTGACTTTACCTGCAAAAGCTACATGTACATGTGGGTAATTCCAGAAATTAGGGGTCCAAAAGTGTGACATTTTTGTGTCCCTGTCACATACATGTATGACCTTTGTTATTTGACATGGAAACATCACCGGAATTTAATTTCAAACTATTACTATTTGTTTGGCAGGTAATTTCCATTAATTCATCACTCTTGGAAATTAGAAAATGTGTTCTAAGCTTACAAATTTATGTCAGATGTGGCAGGGACACGAAAAAGGGACACCAAAAAAATGGACCCCTAATTTCTGGAATTACATATTTACTCAGTCTATGAAGATATTATTATGGCAGTCTTGCACATTCATGCAGTAGAAGACGTGTTTTCAGCTCAAAATCTCATCCTCATTATTGTCACTTTTGTTAATTTGACCAAATAGCCCCAAAGTAGGCTGAACTTGAAGTAGGTAATTAAGGTGGTTTTCACTTCCTCTCCTCATTGTTAATATTCATATTTCACAGTGATCCAAAGTAAAAGATTTGTTCGCTAAAAGCTCTGGTAGTTACAGGTAGTAAAAGCTGCGGAACGTGCATTGTTCATGCGTATTTTATGGCTGTCATTTTCAGGATAACAACCTGGCTTTTCGAATGGTGGATTGCAATTATGTAATAACGAAGATATCTTTGTTAATTGTTTGAAGATAACAGAAACAAACTTACCCGAATTCCGCCCACTTTCAAATCCATGTTTATACAAGGAAGTACTGTCTTTATTGTAGATTATTTGTTTATAACAGAAACAAACAGAAACAAACTTACCCGAATTCCGCCCACTTTCAAATCCATGTTTATACAAGGAAATACTGTCTTTATTGTAGATTATTTGTTTATAACAGAAACAAACAGAAACAGAAACAAACTTATCTGAACTCCACCAACTTTCAAACCATGTGTAGACTAGGAAGTATTGTCTTTGTCATTTTGGGCATTTCATAATTGTTGTACATTTTGTTATTCAGGTGTCATTTATACAGTCTCTCTACAACCACCCATATTTTGCCCTGAGTGGTCTCTGCCTTATATTGCTGTTCTTGTGCGGGATTCACAAACGGGTCGTTGCGCCAGCCATGTATCCTTTCACCATGAACCAGGATATGAAATTCCAATTCATTTCAAATTAGAAATCAAGGGGCAGAACTTCAACCTAGTTGGTAGATACCAGTATTTTCTGGTCAACAGAAGTTAGAATAGTCCAGTGAACCATTTGGCAACAATCTGCCAAGGTTTGTAACGTCACCTGTTGTAAGACAGCCCAGAATTTGAACACCTAATGTGTCAAACAGGATGGTCTTTTTTTCTTCTCAAACACTCAAGTGACTGCCGTGTTTATATGTTCCGAAAACGTGATGATTTTTGTACTAATTTCCACTAATCATAACATCGGTACCAGCTTTCCACTTGTCTCACACTTCAAAGGAGATCGATATTAAAGTTTTCCAAATTCTTAGCAATCGGGTCATCCAGAGGGATATTTGATGACGCATTACATGTATTGTGTTGGAACCTTGACAAGCATGTGTCCAGAATAACAGCACGATGTCGCTCTGTTCTTGCAGACTTCAACATGTCCTGTGATGACGTGAGTTTCAGGCCGACTTTTCTTCAAACTCTTCATCAAGAATACTTAATTGTGTCTTTATACATTCAAACCTTTTTAATAAGAACAGTATTAACACATCTTGCTTAAGACAAGGAAATGTTTAGGTCCCAACCTCTGGCTTTTTATTGATTTCATTCTTGATAATACAAGGCATCTGTTATAACAAGGTAATCTGCCAAGTCCGAAGGACCTCGTATTAACGAGGTTTGCCTGTCTGTCGCTTTACACCATGCTGTCTGGTTGATATTTAAAACCACATTGTGTATTATCCATTCTGAAAATCTTGCAACATTTAAATATAAGTATTAATAATGACTTCACAACTTGCAAGAGGTCAATTTCTCCATGGGTTTTCATGTGGTGTTATGGTACAAGATGAAAGAATATGTATGGGGGTCCCTTGGAGTTTTTGCCTGATTGGAAAAGGTTGTTCTTGAAAGCAAAAGTGCAGTTATATTTTTTGTAATTTCAACTAATGTTAAAATATCCTTTTTTTTCCTTTCACAGACAGGAAAGCTTATTCTCAAGCCGCGTTCAATGTGACAAGATCTATAACATCCATCTCATTGGAAAAGTGACTCCATTACTTTCAGAATACCAAGTCATCTGTATTCCCTTGTTGAGCTATCTGATATGCAACTTTCCATTGGATCTACAATTTTCGTTTTTACTTCACCACTATGCCATGGCAAACTGAAAAACATTGTGCATCTTTTGTAGTGTGGAATTTCCTATTTGCTTTTCTGACTTCTAGTTACACGTCTGTTCTCTGTACATTCTTCACCCCTTGGGTCTGACAGATCTTAACTGACACTCTGGTGTGAGATGATAGTACAGGTCACAAAATCTTGATAAAGAATTGTTGAACTTTCTTTTAAAAAGTGCTCTGAACATCTTATGCCCCAGTAGGGGTTCTTCCCAAGGAGGATCCATCTCTTTTTGAAATGTGCCTGGTTTTAAGAGTCCTTTGAAAGTTGCAATGGCATGGGAAAGATGGCTTAACCAGTTCAAAAAGGGTATGACGGAAACACTCAGGGATGTCCTGTGTTGTAACACAGGGGACATTTAAACAAAATGTGGCGAATTCTGCGTGCAGTGCTGCTTGACGTCCCACTCTTGAATGATCCCCATTGAACGCAGACTCAAATTAGTCTCTTGAATGTGCAGAGCCCTCAAGAGGCCGTGGGCCACAGCTGTGCATTGTAGCAAACTCCGCTCCAAAACATTATTGTAGAGTTCCAAAAAAGCAATGATGCAGCATAAATAAATGTTGCACAGATTTTGAACAAATGACCACCAATGGTCGGTATTTGTAAAGGAATGTGGTTCTTGTACCTTGTCACTTTGAGAACTTGGGACAAGTGCAACATAAACGACAATGTAATTCCATCAGCAAGTTGCAGAACTTAATCCATGTAGTTAAGCTTGGAAAAAACCTATGAAGGATTCCTTTGTTGGTTGCCAAACACTGCGTTTCTAGAACAGTAAATTACGTGTAATAAAACATGTTTGCACTGTTTGGTTTATCTTGGTGAAATATATACAAGTTTCATCAGTGTAGAGAGTTTGTACTAGAGTGAAATGAGCAGCGCAGGAATTGGCTGAATTTATGGTGCCCACTCAGTCATGTCCAAAAACAGTAACGCTTAATGTCAGTAGTTCATAACTTCATCTGTTGGTTTTTGCATTTTGCAATGCAAAGTAATTCACAGGATGAAATAAGCCTTTTGCGAGTTAAATTTGAATAATCTGGTACACTGAGTTCTTTAAATTACATGAACATAACAATTGGAATTCTCCATACTATAGCCACTGTTGATATACCTCGTGATTTGGGGCAAGCTTTTCCTTAGTTCCATAAGAGACGCCTTGCAACAATACACTGTTCTCAATGGAAAAAGAAGGGCACAAAGGAACCAGTCTATTCCAGAGATGGTGGTCGCTAAGCAAAAGCTTGCCCCGAATTACGAGGTATAGCAACATTGTCTTTAGTCTGAGAAATTCAAATTATTATGTTCATGTGCAATCAGATAACTGTGTGCTAGATTTTATTCAAATTTAACTCGCAAATGGCTTATTCAATATGCATTAAGAAAAACATCCTTTGTATGGTTCATTCAGAAAGTTGCAACTGTTAAAAAAAGCAACCTTCAGAATGCGAGTATCCTTGGATGTGTGTGTAAACTGTGTTGCTGTTTGCTTTATTGTCCTTTTAGCAATGAGCTAGGAAGCAGATAATACTGTATCTTATGTACATATTCTAACCAAAAAGATTAATAAAAATCACATCAAATTGCTCAGAAGGCATGGTCCAGGGCTCCATTTATTGAATTCCTTGCATTGACTTTTAGTGTCACACAAGCATGAATCTCAGAGGAGGAAGAGATAGCCAAAAGGGTTATTCCAGAAAATTGACAAATTTTAATGTAAAACACCCCACTTCAACTTTGTGTAAAGGCTCCCGATCTCAGAAACATATACGTAAATTCCCAGTGTTAGCATCTTTTCCACCCATAACCTCCCCCCCCCCATTTGATTATGTGACATTCCTAGCATTTCAAAGGAGATTCAGATTAGTTTTCTCTACAGAACTGATTAAAAGGTTGGGATGAGTGCATGCAGCACTGCTAACGAGCATCAGATATGCCAGTTTGGTGGATGACGGCCACACATTAGTGTAAACTTGGTTAGTTACTGTAGGGTACAGCAACTGTAATAACACTAAGATATAACTGCAGCTGCACTGCCAGTCCAAATCAAACTGGCACACAGTATGGTTACTTCGTTTAGAACATTATCCCAGCCTTCTCATGAGAACTATGATGATGCAGTATGAATGCAGCACAGAGTTTGAACACATGATCACCAAGGGTCAGCATTTGTGAAGTCCAACCTTGTAAAGGCATCGTTCTTGACGTCGAGAGTTGACTGTAATCCAGTTTCACTTTTCAAACTTGGTACACTCTTTCAAGCTATAGTCTTGAATACTGTTGACTGCAGGGAAGGGCATACGTTTCAGTCCAAAAACTCTCTAGATCTTTGTTTATCATGTATAACAGACCCACCAGAGGTTTTTGCCTTGAACTCGGCAGTTGGGCCAAGTCTTTGTGAAATAGGGCCAATCATAAGCAAGCGTTATCCTGATACACAAGACAACTTGTAAAGTTGTCACAGAGTCTGCAGTCGGGGTGTATGTGAACCGCTGGATCCCTCCGTGGTGCTTGCTGCAGATGTTAGCTGGGTCTTGGGCCAGGCCAACAGAATCCATCCATCGTGCTCTGCTGCTCTGTGTTCATGTGTCACCTCGGTGCACCTTGTACTGCTCCATCTCTTCAGGAAACATCTTGTTCAGCTCTGTGATCAAGTTCTTCTTGAATTTCTGGAAGTTGGACAAAAGAAACATGAGCTGCAGTGACAACTGGAAAGTTCCAGTATATAACAAAAGGTTATCTGTTTCTTTAATGAACAAAACTTTGACTCATTATTGCGAACATGATACATCCATTCCTACTCAAGAATGTTTGGCCCCCAAACTCTGGACTAGACAGACAAGTCTCATTGTCCTGAAATAAAGTCCAAGTATTCAGACATTCAGGAATTCACCAGACTGGAAATATGGAAATAAATGAAATGAAAAAAAAAATATGTGTCCATATCAGTCAACATGGTCAATCACACCCATTCCAGGTGCTTTCTGCATCCATGGCTTTCGTTGAATGCTAATCCCACATCCAGGCCAAAAGCAGACATAGGAAAAAAGTACATCACAACAGGGCCCCGGATTATTCCCGCAAGTTCAAAGTTCAGGTAGGGCCGGCAACCATTTAGACCCGGTTTGAAAAGGCCCCCCTCCCCCCCGGTAAGCTCGCCCAGTTGCAAAAACCCCTTTCATACCGGCCTGGCTACCGGCCTAGGATGCTGGACTGGTTGTTGATCTCGAACTTCTTCATNTTAGTACTTACTGAAAATGTCTCAATCTTGCCCTTGACTTGTTCATTCTTGATGACGGCTTTCTCCATACAGTCCTTGGTATACAGCTGGGGATTGCGGCCCTGGTCGATGTAACTGAAAGACCAAAAAAGTAGGAAGAGGAAAATTGAATACCTAGTGACAACTAAATTACATTGCACAGGGTATGGTGTACCTATTATTTATTATTCACCTGTCATTTAAGCCTAAGCTCTAACCTTCCTAAATCCTTCATTCAAAATCTTACTTGTATGAGTGGAGGATTTCAAAGGAATAATGCTGTATGACAAGGTTATGAGCCAGACCTTGTGTTGTTAATGTTTAGCCATGTATAAATATGAGCCTGGGTTATATTGTAAAGCAACTACATAGCTCCAAAATATTATTCACACAGTATCAACATTTTGACACTTATTGTCAGAGGATGTTGAAGTACTGGGGCAATGGTCACATCCCCGAGGAGCATATTAATGAAAAAATGGAGGAATTTGGAAGAGTTGAGGCTATATCAGAGTGGATGGGCCTAGAAGGTACGGGTTAAGATTTGTTTTGTCACAGTACTCACTCGAAGACCTCCAAGGGTACTTGAACATCTTGAACCTGTGTCTTGGTTTTCTCCATCTCCAACAAACCTGTCACCAGGGTGTGTCTTGAACCAAAACAAAAACACCCATTATGAAACAGTTTAGACTATGGAAAATACTTCTTTAAACCTCCCTTCAATTACATATAGGTGGATCTTCAGCTCAACATAAATTCTAACCCCTCAACATTTTTGCCAGAAACCTCTTCAACTCACACATCCCATTTAATGTTACGCAGAAAACGATTACAAAACTGGACATCTTTAATTTGATAAATAAGGGTGTTAAGAAAGATCATATCATTTTGTCGAGCATCCAGTCAGATTTGGTAAAAAAAAAATCACCAAGAAAATTGTCATAACTCATAAATAGAAGTAAAGATATCGGCTGGCACTCGAACAAAGGTGCCATTAATTCTACAACCTCAAAATCAAATGCAAAATTTATACCCAATACTGAATAATTCTTACAGCTTTTGGTTGAGTGTTATCTGTCCCTGAGGTTGAAAGTCACTGACAATAATTCCCAGTTGTCGAGTGTTCTCAACAAAACGTTCCAGGCTTTCCACCAAGGGTTCAAACTTCTCAGAAGCCATTGTCCACCGTCAGTGTCCAAGTATTTTCACAACAAAGCTGATGTGGTGGGCAACAGTTGAACCGGATGACCTGTAGCTGAAAAGATGATGATCAGATATCTGAATGTTTAGCATGTCTAGATCTAGCCCCATACTAGAGCCAGTCTACTGGAGTACCTCAATATCCTTGGCCCTATGCCAAAATTCATATGGCTCTACTCACCCAATTAGTTTAAAAATTTGACTGAAGTGCAATTCTCCAATCTGTTTGTGAAATTCTGGTCTCTATTGTGTTGTCTCAATTTGTTTATCACGCCAATTTATCCCTTTGTTTAACAACTACCTGCAACAAACCAAATTGGGATCTTTTTGATCTGGGAACCAGACAGTGGTAACTCATAAACTTGCAATAGCTGTTTCATCTTGAACTTGGTATCAGGCATCTGGACACCAGTGATGAAGCTGGTTATAAACATCTGTTCAGTGTTTGCACTGAGTCATGCTTCGTTGAGTGCTTAAGTTGTACAGCAGTATTTCACACTTGACCCCAGAAGCACATTTACATGTATGTACATTTACATTGCGGTTCACTTTTGTTAAACATTCTTTTAGCTCATGCTCTGGGGATACACGTTGTTTATTGCAGTCTGGCCCCCCCAACAAAGATCTGGATCATGTTGACTGTGCTTATCATCCATTCAACGATACCAGCATGTTGGCAGTAAATTGGTTTATGTATATGTAGTCATGAAACATGTTGAATGGCTGTGTTGAAACAACAAAAAGAGACCAAAATGGACCGAGCCATGAATCAAACCCGATGGAAGGCAGAGAAAGAACCACTATGCCAACCAAATAGCTCAAGATCTTGTTCTCTCATGATGTAGGCCTATAAACATCCATGACGGGCATGACGGTATAGTCACCAGGTTTCTTAATTGGCCAATAACTGTGAAAACTAATCTGACTTGATAATAGATCACAAAAATTAGGGACCTGGCCTGGCGACAATACCATACATGGTCATGGATGTTAGGCTAGTCTACTCCCAGAACTGTGGGATCCGACATCTGCCGCGTTCCCACGTGAGAGCAGGGCGGATGTCGTTTGTAAGCATCAGAACCCCATTTTTATGATGTTCTATACCTTCAGCACCCTGTTCCAATAAGGGAACAAAGTCTACTTTTTAAAAACAACTTATCTGAACAAGTTGCTGGTGATATCAAAAGAAAAGAAAACAGGGCTTTTGGTTTTGAGGGAAATTTAGAGGTAAAATGGCAGCGTACATGACTACCCCGAAAGGCTGTGAATGATGACAAATTGGCAACTGTAGTCTGGTTCCTTGACCTGGAAGGAGGTTTGTTTCGATGAATTTAAAATGCCCGAGTTGGGTAACCACACGAGAAACAAAATGGTGTGAGTCAATCAAGCGGTTGTCTTTTGCCAAACTGAGATTAGAAATTTGTGGTTTTCTGACTTAAATATTGTCAAAATTTACCTAAATTAGGCCTATATCAGGATTGAGCAATGGTTCCTTAAGTTCAAAATGTTAGTTAGTTTGAGAAAGTGGACTGTGTTTCCTTGTCTACTGGTGCTAAAGGTAATGAACACCATTTTTATCATATGTACAAAATCCTAGCCCATTTCCACAAAATTAATCCTGCAGTTATTGAGCATGAAGACAGTGTAATTAGCAAGGTACGTTTTAAAGTTAAAAGTAACTTTCCATTCTATTATAGGAACAGGGTCCTGAAATTAACAAACGCCCAGTTCTGGGGGTAAGTCCAGTCCAGACAGGGCCCTAGGCCTACCCAGAACTTCTGGGTTCACGAACCCAAAGTTCTGGGGGTATCCAGTAGACAGGCTCTCGCAGGCACAGGCCCTAGTAATATATTAATATAATAATGGCTCTTGTCTTAATGTGCAGTCCCTCATGCATCGCCCCATTTTTAGATTTCATCTGACATGCTACTGTTATCTTTTCAAGGTCTTAATGCGAGCGATGCATGATGGGCTTACACTGTACCAACATGACCAATGGGCCTGTCTTAGCAGGAAACCGTCTTAGCAATCCAATAGAACACATACATGTAATTTCTCACGAAAAAGATGCAATCTAAACAGTTAGACAATTCAGACATTGTTCATGCAATTGCAAACAAACAGGTTCGGTTGACGTTTAGTCCCAAATCAATCAAGAATGACTAGTTTATTTCACTGCAGTGCCCAAATTGCACTTTTGGCAGCTACATGTACACAGAAGTACAGTCCTTTTTAACCTACCTGCGTTTCTTAGTTGACACCGCTAAATTTGAGCCATGAACCATCTTAGGCCTACACCGTCACGTTCGTACATGTACAATGTTCAACGGGTTTCGGTCACTTCGCCCCATTTCCACGTCGCCCCCAACCATTTCGCCCCTAACCACTTCGCCCCTTCCCCACATCGCCCCATCTCCACTTCTCCCCATTTCCACTTCGCCCCACCGATAAGGCATTCTGTTCTTTAGTAAGAGAGGTATAGACCTAGATGGAACAGATGAAAACAACGACGTTTGAGCAACCAAATTAACGGTGGAAGAAACTAACTTTCAAAGGCCAAAACAATGCTTTCGATTTCCTGACTGACCCTCATTTTTTGGCGAGATCCAGTAACATTTTTATTGGCAAGCCTAAAAAACAAATTGAATGAATATAAGAAAGACAAATAAATAAATCCCGAATATGTCTCTCACGTTGAAACTATTTCGAGCCCTTTTTCAAGTGATCACCATGCAGTCCAAATCAAACTGTCGCCGTATTCCTCCACCATCATCAGTAGTTAGACAGTTTGTCTCATATTAAAACCAGGTCGGTTGACCCGTACCTGAATGCTTTACTGATGCCTCCTTGGGACTTCCTAGACGCAGATAATGTCAATGAATCTTGGGAAGGGTTCTTAGACATCGTTTATGCAGCAATGAAGGATGTGCTCTCCAGTAGATCAGTGAAATCAAGAAAGCGAAGAAACTGCCCTTGAGTTAACTCTCACATGAAACGCTTCTGCACACACTCCAGCCTGGGAACACACTGCTCTTCAAGAAAGCGAAATACTTTGGATCTATTCAAGATTTGAACCGTTACAAGACTGGAGTACGTAATCAGCTTAAGTTCATAATTTGTAAGGCTTACAAGATATTGATAAATTGTTTGTACCTAAAGATAACAGAAAGCGTTTCTGGGCTTATGTAAGAAGCAGGAGGCAATCACCCACTCCTTTGTCTTTCAAACATGGTGATAATATGCTTACTGCGTGATTATCATGATGAAGCCGCTGCATTTAATAGTTACTTTGCCTTAGTTTTTTTCTGAACCGAGCAGTGTACCAGATAACCCGCCATCTTATGATTTTCCGATTGACTATCTTTCCACTATCCATTTTTCTACACTAGAATTCATCGAATTATTTCACCCTTGGCATGAGGGGAAGGCACCTGGGCCTGATGGGATTGGTGCGAGATTCTTGAGTAGGCCTAGTACCGTGGACTCACCAGTTCACCAGGTGTTCCCTTGGTTGAAAGTCTGCAAATTACTCCTGTCTTTAAATCAGGTGATCGCAGTTTTTTGAACATTTACCAGCCTGTCACTTTAACTTGCGCCTCCACTTTATGTAAAGTCATCGAAAGGGTCATTTCGGATGTTATCCTAAGGCATTTGGATGATCTCTGCCTAATTTCTGCTAATCAACATGGTTTTTACCTCATAGATCTTGTGTTACTCAGCATATCATACATGGGCTGCACAGCTTAATCAGCGTAACCCACCTAGAATTGACGCACTGGGTTTTTTTTGGACAAAGCCCTTTGATCGCATGACACACTTCTCCATACTATAAGTAAGTTTGCTTCTGGGTTCAACATACATGTAAGAGGTTCTCTATGAAGTTGGATAAAACTTCTTGGTGGGTCGACTGCAGAGTGTGAGTTTTGTAGGACGAACCTCGGATTGCTCATTGGTGAAGTCTGGTGTTCCTCAGGGTAGTGTTTTGGGGCCCCTACTTTTTAACCTTTTATCAACGACATTAGTCCCCTTATGTATTGTTTGCAGATGATGTTTTGTTATACCGTTCCATTCATACAGATTTGGATGTCTCTGAACTTCAGAATGATCTTAATGAGCTGAGTGCTTGGAGTGCCTCTAATGGTATGACCTTTAACACATCTAAAACTAAAGTCATGCACATTTCCCGCAAAAGGACTCAGTTCTTTCCAGTTTCTTTCAGGCACTTCTCTCACAGCATCAAACAAGGTCAAATATCTTGGCGTCACTAAGCGCTCAGCTCTCATGGAATGATCACATTAAATCTGTCAGTTCATCAGCTAATCGCATGCTCGGTTTCACCAAAACTGAGGCCCGGGTTTTTAATGCCTCTGTACGTGCTAAGCTGTCCCTCTACAAGGTCCTTGTTCTTCCGCCCATCTTGGAGTATGGACTTCCTGCTTAGCTGCCTCAAACAAAGAAGCAGGGTGATATTCTAGAAAATATTCAGCGACGTTCTACTCAATTCATTTTAGGTCAGAAATGTGGAGTAATGCTTACGCAGATAGACTTCAGATTCTCAACTGGCCGCCCCTATATAACCGCCGGAATTTTGCTGTGTTGTCCCTTGTCTGTAAATGTTTTTCCTAGTCTTGTTAAATGTGAAATATGTCTTAGTGTTCCTGTGAATTCCAGACATATCAATATTTTTAGTTTCAATCATCTCCAGGCTAGAACACAGTCCCTTCATTTATGTTGTTTTCATCAGTTTCCCCGGTTGCGGTCTGGATCTCCCTGAAAATATTTACAACACTCTAATTCTGCAACCCTTTTCACGATTCCTGGCATTATCGAAAAACTCTGTCCTTTACCCCAATTCTTAGGCTTCATTACATTCACTGCTCTTCCACGTGTGGAAGGGAGATTTGAATGTTTCCCAAAGTCTTATGTATTAAGTTAGCGGGGCATTTTTTTCTCTCATTTTTTTTGGTGTCGGAACCCAGGACGACTGACTTTCTTAGGAATTTAGCCATTTGCTTGTACGGTCAAAAAAAAAATCACTCAGCCCAGCACAGTGTCATAAGTTGGGGAGCTCTTGTGGTGCATGATGGCGTCAACTCCATGCTGCCCGCCTGACTTCAACCTACCATACTATGGCCCTGACGATAGCCTTCGTCTGCCACTACCCATGATGCCATAACCAAGTCCAACCTTCCAGCTGTCACAACCAAAGGTCACACCCAGTGAGCAGATCCAAGCCAGTGGTGATCAATTTACAAAGATGCAGCCCCCCCCCCCAGATAGTGTCAGAGGACCACCACGAACTCTGTCTCCCACCGAACACCAGTAAGCCTGTGCCAAGTCTTCAGCAGCCGAGTCATTCGAAGGATTTGAGTAGTTCCTTGACACCGATTCAGTCCCACCCTCATCAAACAGGACTCTGTGACTAGCCGAACCTTAGTCCCCTACAGTTGGCTGGTTTTGATCCACCCCTCCCAGTTGCCGAGCGTCATGTACCGTTCACATATACCACTCATCAGGTCAAAGACGTTGCGATGTTCTCAGGGTCAATCTCCGAAAAGCACGGTCTAAAAGTTGAAGATTGGGCGCGTAACATGTCCTACTTGCTTGAGGCAAAGGGACCACAACCAAGCCAGGTGCAGTTCCATGAAGTGGTGAGGCACACGAGGGGGAAAGCACGTGATGTCATTTTAAACCTTGAGAG